AATATATTAATTTATATGTATACAATTGTGAGAAGCTCATCAATATTATGTGTTAATTTTTTATGCTCATTATTGTTGAATTCATAAATTATTTTCTTTTCTATTTTAAAATACTTTTCAACATTTCAATTTAAAAACTGCTGGATTGAAAAATGTATTTTGGTTCTGTGAATGCATATTAATATGACCACCTATATTTTCCTTAGAATCTTGCCATTTAACACAATCAAAAAGGAAATCTAATTTTAGACCTATACATTTCAATAAAATAGGATTGGGTTAGATCAATAAGGTAAGTCTTGAATATGAATTTCATGTTCCTGAATAAACTAAAATAGCAAAATTGGATAACCTAACCTGGTAATAATAAATGTACTTATAATTACCTAATTGAAAAATGATATATTCACACACATTACAAATGATAATATAGAGTGTCTAATATATAGAAAGGCACTATTAACTTTATTTTCAGACTTGCCTTTTTTCCCATTATTAGGTAGGCTTGGTGTTTCTCCCTTATTGTCTTTATAACATTGAAAACAGACAACAGTAATTAATAATTGAAGTAATTAACAACCCAAATAAAAGCCAAGCACATCAAAAGTATGAAATCACACACTAAAGAAATAAATCCATGCACTAAAGATGACATGCCACAGTAATGAAAACAAGAGTTAAGTGTATACTTCTCAGAAAAAGCAGTAAAAACAAACAAAAGGAACAAGGAGTCATTTATATATTACAATTATGACTTTTAGTCAATTTAATAATTGATGTAAGAAACAGGTGAGAAACTGTCAGGTCCAACAAGTGGACTTACTTAGTTTCAAGAAGACAAAATTAAAGTGATGCTAACTGTTGCTTAAGTCCCTAAACTAACTTTATCCTAAAACTGTCATTATTGTGGAAGCCAATTCATAAGCAGCATGAAGGGTTTCAGTATTTGTGAGAACTAGTATGATATACAGAAGTATGGGTGAATAGAAGACACTAACTGCCCAACTAAATAAAAATGGAATACATTCTTAAAAATATTGCATTAATAGGTAGGGCTGTGGCTCAGTGGCAGAGCACTTGCCTAGCTCATGTAAGGCACTGGGTTCATTCCACAGCATCAAATAAAATTAATATATAAAATAAAGGTATTGTGTGCATCTACAACTAAAAAATATTTTAAAAGAAAAAATATGCATTAAAATGTCATTCCTATAGAATTCAAGGAAAATAAAAGATGTGCAGAATTCTTCCAGTTAGAGTATTAAATATTCAGAATGGAGATTTTGTATACTTTTAGAACTATGTAGCTAAAATTGACTTTATTTCCATCATCAGATGTACTCTGATGAATCATTTTTCTCATTGTTATAATACTAAAAAAACTGTTGATAATAGCAATTTCAGTTTACAATGTTTTTAGTTTTAAAAACTTCACTCTATTCTGAGAATGTATCATGAAAACATATCTCATATACAATATGACATTGCCTTGTCATAATGAGAGAAAAAAGTACACAATATATATTCTACTCATTATGACTAAAAAGTGATCAATTAAACATTTGACAAAAATAGACTTAAAGTTATTATTCATTGTTTAAAATAAGTTAAATTTGTTAAAACCTAGCTACTTAGATAAGAATAGGATTCAATTCTTAGTTTCAAATAAAAATAAATAAATTCATTATTTATTTAAATAATTTTGATTATATAATATTTTATGTTTTAAAATTCTTTCAATTCTGGCAAAAGTGGCAAATATTATGACATGTAAACATAAGATGGTCATAAAACACCAGCCAAAAACAAAGGGTCAGCATACCATTTAGAAGGAGGACTATATGAACACAAATTATGATTTTGAAAACATATTATAGTATTTGTTGAACTGGAAGAAGGAAGAGGAACTAGAATGAAGAAGTTAATTGTTCTTACTTTAGGAAATAATAATATGAAAGTGATCATAGTCTCTAAAAGTTTGAATGGGATTTATATTCTATTCTACATTTCCATATAATTTACCTGTAATAGATTCAAAATCCTTAGAGAAGGAGCTAGAGCTTCCCTTGCCAACAGCAACACATGGTAAAATACAGTTTTCTACAAGCAGCTCAAAAATTTTTTTTGAGTAATTAAATAAATGTTTTGAATGTAAATGAATAAGCTGGGGTATAGGAAAGGCAGACATGTAGGTCACAGGTTCAGTCCATAATTCTAGTTTGATTTAAACAAATCCAACCAGTTGAATAAATTAAATATTGTGACATGTTGCCTAGACAGGTTAAATAATATCTCTTCATTAATAAAATCAGATAATTTATTATAAAATTAGTATTGAAAAGCAGAAATCTGTTCTTTACTGCACATTCATAATGTGGCCCAAAGTCATGTAAAATCATTCATTTATTTTAAACACACAGACAGACCTGCCTTGACCTCTTCTCCCAGCTTTTCTACCCCCTTCTCTTCCACATGCACAGTTTCTTCATTAACTTCTGTATTTACATGAGTAAAAGTAAAGAAAAAAAGACTAGATAGGTATAATAATTACTTTTAAATTAAATAAAACAAACAAAAACATTCATAATTGTATAATGAGTGATTATAAGGAGATTGATAAAGGAGTTTCTGACATGTAATTGCAAACCAAGTTTACTGTTAGTGAATTATCACACTGTCTGCTTTTATGATGATGGTGATTTGTAAAAGGAGAAATGGTGAGCTCAATATATTTGGAATATGTGAGAAACTAGGTAAAATATGCAAAATGCCTTGTCTATTGACATGGTATATTATTAGAAAAAATAATACTATATAACGTTCCTTTTGGAGAAACAAAAATGATATGACAAACTTTTATTTTTACATAATGGCAGTACAACAAAATAAGGGGAAAATAAAATAATAATGATAATGTCTTGCAATTACTGAATACATTACATTTTCCATATTGCTCTTATTTTATTTCTCTTTCAACAAAAAGTAACTAAAATAAAAACCAAAATGTATGAATTTAAACTAACTAAATTAAAAGACAATATAAAATACTTAACCAAAATCATAAAGAGTGAAAATAGAACTTGCTAAACTTTTAGTTACTGAGGAGGATTAGAAAATAAATATTTCAATATTTTAATTCTAAACTAATGACATCAAAATACAAGTTCTGACAACTAACTTTTTAGGCAGCACTGAGAAAATAATTTGATGAGATTTATTTTGAGTTATTTATTTTTAGTTACCACATATGTAATTTCAACTAGAAATTGAAGACCTCTTAAAGAGATAATAGATAATTTTCATAGTTAAAACTAATGAAAATTACAGTCATGTATCTATTCAAGTCTCCATATAAACACTTATGAAAATACTTTTTTTAAAAAAGTCATCCATACTATTAAGTTTTTTAAAAAAAGAAAAAACTTTCAATTTCCTACTGAAAAGGATGAGGGAAGTTTTAGCTCATCTTTCTTTTATAAAATAAAAATAAAAATATGGAAAAATTGCAACTGGAGACACTAAAGGAAAATTGTGGTTTTAATGGATTCTATAAAGGAAAAAAAGACAAATAGTAATTAGAATATTTGTTGATAATCCCTTAGAACCTTTATCAACCCTTATGTTCAGTATCAACAATATTATCAGTTTTCTGGCATAATTGGTATTACCAAAAACAAAAAAATACAGATCTAGTCTTATGTCAGTAGACTATTGCTTTACAAGATATTTAAATTAAAATTTTAGAAAATTGTGACGTAATCTTTTATGTTTCTGACTTCATATGCCAATAAATGATGCTGAAATTCTACGTTTAAAAATCTTGAGGAGATAAAAAATCCATAATTATTGAATTTTCCTTGTGGAAAGTCATTTAAAATTTTAGGCTTCCCAGTCTTATGCAAATAATGGAGAATTATAGAAACGCTGCTCAAATCTTTTTACCAGGCAGCATAATAGACCTCTAATCACAACAGCACTGAATTGTTCTATTATGCTATATAAAAACAAAACAAAACAAAAAAAAGAACCACAAAATAGAAGTTGGTAGCCATTCAGTTACAACTAACAAGAATACATTTTCTATCAAGTTACATAAGGCAATGAAAACATTGCTGCTTAAATGCAAAGCATTTACAAATTTGTTACAATAAGTCATGACAAGATTAGTTTAGTGGCACTTTATACATTATCTTAGGTAGTGTTGCAATTTTTAGATAAACATTTCATGCATTCATTCAACAAATATTTATTCTGGGCTTACAATGTGGGCATTATTCTATGTGTTGGACATTCATCAGTAAATAAAAGAGCCAACAGTTTCAGAATTCTATAATTAGTAGGGGATTTTATTGTCTTTAAAAGTAAATATTCCATGTCTTTGTAAATACTCCATATATCAAAATTTAATATTTTATCTTGAGTCATAATGAAGGGTTTAGTACTAAAATCATAAAACTATCGTTTAACTTTGAATACTATAAGCAATCTTGCTACAATATGAAAAATGATGTAGAAAATACAAACCACAATCACTATCTAATTCAAAAACTTTCTTTTCAAGAAAGCCAAATTTAATAATTAAAATATCATCATAAATATAAAATGAAATATATGATGATAAATATAACTAGACTATGTTTACATCCTAATGACATAAACACAGACTGCAATTGATATCTTTGGTTAAACTTTTACTCAAAATCTGGAATTTGGCCTAAAAAGGAAATTAGATATTTTCAAAAGAGCAAATATTTTTTACTCATTTAAAAGAAGTTACATTCTTTGCATTCTCACCTGATGAATCAATGAAATTTAACTCCTTCTTTTCATTTCCAAGTAAAATAAAAGTTGAATACTTTATCAGAATCATAAAACAAAATAATTTTGCTGTACATAAAACTATGTAATGAAGGAACATCAATTGCAGTTGGGTTTATTTTTGCTTAACAGCCCCTCAAAAAGGCTGTCGACACAAAACAAACCCTCCTTTATGTACAGACCTTCATAAGGTTCTATCTCCTTGACTCCATTGTCTAGGGAAAATAAAATAAAAACAAAACAAAACAAAAAAAGGGAACCAAAGCACAGGGGTTAAAAACAACAGAAATTTCCAAAGGCATAGGATGAATTGTATATTAAAGAAAATTTAATGGTGATTAAGATATATACTTTTATAAATATTCATGTATATATACTTTTGCAAAACACACCCAGTTACCAAATAAAGGGATAATTTTTTAAATGAGGTTAAAATATTCTGATATCCATGCTTTTAAAGGTCCTTTACCCAAAATTTTATAAATTTATAAATGTTTTAGAAGAATGTTCATGTTTGTTAGCAAATATTGCATCTTATGTAAAAATTTGAAATTGTTAAAAACATCAGTACAACATGCATCTTTCTTTATATATTCATGATTACCTTTTTCTTGTACTCCAGATTTGAGAAGGATCACCATTGGTGTGCATCAGCTAACCAGTCCTTTGCAGTGTGTGAAAATTGATTTAGCTAGTTACTAATAAACTTTATGTAACTATCAACAATTACATAAATTTAGTTGCAGCAAAGAAATATCATCCAAGTGCTTATTTAAGACTATTAAGTTTACTTTTAAAATGCATTTATTCACATTTGAAAAATGTGCAAGAAAAAATTGATAGCTTACTTTACCTCCAAATAATATAAATTTTAAACATAGAATATATAATATTCATAAATAAAACTACTATCACGTTCAGTAAGGCATACCATTAACAAAAGAAGATAACTATCACAAAGGTAATAATAAAATCTTGATTCACCTTGGCTTCCATGTGTATTTCCCCTGTGATAAAATTAGAAATAAAACTTACTTCTCTCCAATGTTCCCTTTGGTGGAAGCTGTGGAAGCTGTCGGCCCCTTCGTCCTGCCACTGGAGTACTTGATGGGCTGGTCTGGACAGACCCAGTTCGAGGATGAGACCTACAAGATACATCATTGATATTCATTTTCAGTACAATCACTTAAATGCTTTTAATACATTTGGTTCATATGATAGCTGTGTAAGTGCTTTTTAAAAAGAGGTTTAGCTGCTGATTAAAAGGTTAGGAAAACAGAACAAAATATGGATATTTGAATGATTATTTAAATACCAAAAGATGTTTACATTTTTATGTAATATGCATACATACACACATACATGCACACAAAACCCTATGATAAAATCCATGGAATAGTTAATGTAAGTTAGTATTCTTTCTATATGAAAGAGGAGAATTCTGTAGCTCAAAAAATAAAAACTACTACCTCACACTTCTTTCTACCAGATTTCAAACTTAACATTAATCTTCCTCTCTTGATCCAAAGAGATTTTTACTCAGGCTTATATTAAACATCCCTTCATTAGAAAATATGAGACTACAAATAAAACCCTGAGTAATTCAAAATTCAGCTAAAGAAAACACTGGTTAATACATGATATTAGTGTTGACAGAAAGAAACTAAAATTCTACATTTGACTAGTGTCATTATGATGAACATTAGAAAAGTGATGTCTAATGGACACAAGTAATTTCTCATTCTGTAGGAGAAGAACATGATAGTTATGAGGGCATTTACCCAGGACTCCTGATTAATGAGAAATCACAAAACAAATGCAGTCAGGACAGTTAATAAACAAATTACAATGGTAACCACACACTATTATATCCACTGAATATAAATAGTGTGTTCACATTGAAAAGGTTAGTATTGACTGTTACTAGTGATCAGTCAAAGATGATAGAAGAAATCATTTAGCTGCTGGGAAAATAAAATGGTGTGCTGGTGGTGCAAAGGGGGAAGTTAGTCTGATTGATTTATCTTTCACCTCGATAAGGCAGGTGAAGGAGGGGCAGATCTTCCAGTCATTAATGAAGGCATCGACCTCATGAGGTTTGTATCAGGACGTTCAGTGGATCTGGAGCGGGTGGTGGTCCGCTCAAGGTGAGGCCGTTGTTCTGTTGATCTGGATCTGTGATATGGCTGTCTATCTGCTGCTTCACAATCCCTGAAACGTTAGTCAAAAAGCAGCTCAGTTGATCTTTGTGCCCTTCTTCTATTTGGTCATGATGCATCAAACTGATTTTGAGAAAGGTAATTGTTTAAAATTATTGAGTATGTTTAAAAAAATTTCCCCAACATATTTTGAGCAAAATCTCACTAAACTTCTTAAGAATTTCTAAGGAATCGCAATCTGTCTATAATAAAAACTCCCGTTGAACATAATAGGAGTTATAATCAATGAAAACCAAAACTGTCTGCTTTCCAAAATGAATCTCCTAAACATAACATGTGAACTGTGTGAAGTATTATTGTATTTTAAAGGAATTCAATGACTTTTCCTAATATTTTCAAAATAGTGAAGAAAATGATGTAAACATTGATTCTCAAGCCCCTAACACTGTTTATTAGTACACCAACTAAGATATAAAAATACTTTCAACACAATAATAATATTCTGATAAACCTGAACATTCAGACAGAAAAATCAAAATGAGGTTATACAAAAATAGGGCACCTTTGAAGTATGCAGCCATATTTAAACATGACCCCAAAGAGAAATCACTCTAGGGATCTGGTTAATCAGTCATCTACCTCAGTGTACTTTAGCTATACCAACCAATTCAAAATGTGTCTTAATTCACTGAAATAATGTGGTCTTTTTGCCTACAAATAAATCTAACACTAAAACTTAATGGTTGTTGAAAGAAAAATAGTAAATTTAAATAACTTATCATTATTGATTTTTGTATTCCTGAAACCTAATATAATGCTTTTATTCCTAACTTGATCAATAAATGCTTTCTAACACCAACCCCACAATTTGTAAGAAACCTTAAAAACATTAGGTTTGGTCTAGAACTCAAAGTAGTATACACCAAAGTAATACTCCAAAAAATGTTATTATATTTCCACCCAGTTGTGATTACAAAACAAATATGCTTATATACTATAGTGAGTAAAACAACATTAATCTCACCAGAACGTCCACTTTACCTATAAATTCTTTCAACCTTATTTTTGATAGTGAAAAACTACAAGCAATTAAAGAAAAAGAGAAAAGGACACAATTTCCCAAATATCATATAATTTTAAACCAAAAGACTTTAAATTAGAAGATTTTAGAAAGGAAACACTGGATTTATTTTATATCACATCCTGCAATCTCCTAAATTTTCTTTATATTTTCGTTCCACAAAAAATAAGAAATATATAATTATCATAATGTGAGATGAAAATAGGTTAATAAGTGAAACACAGAAGAACCACAACAGAAGTGAAAACTTTCCCAAAATGTGTTTTCACAGTTAAGGGAAATAAAAAGTTATATTTTAAATTTTGATAACACAGAGAAAGTCAAGATAGGCTCCTATACCCACAATCTGGTAAAAATAGGTTTAAATAGGTAAAACTTAAGAAAATTTAAAGCAAGACACCTGAGTTACCCAGTTTCATAGCAGAATCAACACCAATATATAAAACTTGAGAATTTTCACCTATATTTGAGTCAGTATAAAGTCGGGAATATATAAATAACTTCACATAGCAACAACTGAGAAGTGTAAATAATAAGTAAATCAGGTTTAACATATTTTATTTCCTACATGGAATTCTCAAGTTGTAGACTACATTTCAATAAAACGTAATTCTGCTTACTCGCCTTATTTTACTTTATGTATATAAAATGTTCTAAAATAGGTGGCCATTGGTGTTATCAAACTGCTAAAGAGCAGTTTACTCTTTAGCAGTTTGATAACTCTTTAGGATCCCTCATTTGTAAATTTAAACCTTTTTTAGGTGAATAATCCAATTGTCTTCTAAAAGATAGTTTCATGGTCAGTCATGTTCCATTTTTTAATAAATATTCTATATTTTCTAATCTATGTTTAAAATAATTCAGATTTTTTTTAAATGGATCATTTGCCTGGACTGATAGACTACTACTCTGCAATACCTAGTGGCCTCTGATCTACAATATTTGGTGAGGATACTGCTTAACTGTTCTCTCATTGATTTATACTGACTTATAGTACTATAACAATATCCACTATTGAAACAACTATCATGAAAACATATAATAGCATATGCAGATTCTGATATAAGGATAAACTGACAATGGGCCATAATACTAAACAATTTAGAATGACTTTGAATTTAAAGGTCAGTGTTTACTCATAAGAAAAAGTAAAAATGATTAATATTAAATTTTAGTACTCTTTTCAGTCATTTCTGAGGGAAATAATTTTATAATTATCTGACTCAATTGTGAATCATTGAGTTTGTAATAATTCAGTCTTGAATTATTTTTCCAGTCAATGTGGTTGCTTGCAAGAGATTTTCAACATTTTAAGAAATCTGATGTACCTTCCCATCAATTTTGCTGTTTTAGGGTCTCTATTTTCAATGAAAGAACCAAGGAACTCATGCAAAGTTCTGGGGAAAAATAGACTTGTGAGCTTTCTTTTTATAGCTTATGATATCTGCTCATTCATCCATCCATCCCAATGACATAACTCCAGACTAAAGTATACTCAAAATAGAGTATCTGTGTAAATATGAAGAACATTAAGAACACTCCGAAAGAAAGAAAGAAAGAAAGAAAGAAAGAAAGAAAGAAAGAAAGAAAAGAAAAGAAAAGAAAGTTAAAAACCCCAATTGAAACAATGAAATGCTTCAAAGTAATATTCAGAAATCAATGACAATTGTCCTATATTCTAACTCAGAACCCTAGCATATAGCAAAACAAAGACATTCTGTGTTTATATTGTATAAGTAAATTTAACAGATTTTCTTTAAAACTAAACTTATAAAAAGTAAAACTACTTAGAAATTAGTTATTCTTTTCCTTTATAAAGCTGAGATCTTTTATTTTTTTTAAATGGCTATATCTCTGAAGGATAAGTCTAGTCTCTTCTTTGTGGCAAGAAGCACCTTCCTTATGTTCATTCATATTGTGTAATATAGTAATCTGGGTAAGAGCAGAAGCATAATACTTTTGAAAAAATATCTTGAATGTTGTTATGGTTTAGACATGAGGTATTCCCCAAAAGCTCACATGTGAGACAATTCAAGAAAGTTTAGAGGTGAAATGATTGGGTTATAACAACTTTAACTAATCAGTGCATTAATCCCCTGATAAGGATTAATTGGGAGGTAACTATAGGCAGGTAGGATGTGGCAGGAGGAGGAAGGTCATTGGGGGCATGTCTATGAGTATATATTTTATCCCTTATGGGGATCTCCCAAAATTTCTCTCTCCTCCTGCAACGTCTTGAGCTGCTTTCCTCTGCCATGCCTCCCGCCCCCACCATGACATTCTACTTCTTTGGGGGCACAGAAAATAGACCTTGCCATCTATGGACTGAGACCTCTGAAATAAACTTTTATTTACTTTCCTCCTAGAAAATTGTTCTTGTCAGGTCTTTTAGTCACAGCAACCAAAAGATGACTAAAACAAATGCCAAGCTATTTTCTGAGCATTAACTGCATAACTGAAGCAAAACCTAAAATATAACATATACTCAGAAACGTTAAAAAACAAGACACTTGGGAGTAATTAAAGAAATACATATATTATACTTTTCATTTTCATTATAATGCGCAAGATGCAAGTTTAAATATCTCAATTTTCAAAAGTTCTTGGTTATTTTAACCCTGCTTTGAATTTAAGAGAATTGCAAGACACTGCTGAGGTTGTGGCTCAGTGATAGAGCACTTGCCTAACATGCATTCAATCCCCAGCACCATGAGGAAAAAAAGAGAGAGAGAGAGAGAAGTGCAAGGCTGCTGAGAGCCATTGCCAAGTAGGAATGACGCATAGCAATTTCTTTGTCAGCCTACTCCATGTTGCTTAGAGGAAGGACTCTCCATTGTGGAAATAGGCTTGCCTTCGGACCCAGGTCATTTGCAGTGACACTGCATGTATGCTTGAGTAAGGTGACCTTGCTCAAGGACCAGGGCATCCGGGTTTAGGGCGGATCAGGTTTTAGGGAGTATCCTGCTCCTTGGGTTTAGGGCGGTTCCAGGTTTAAGGTGTACCCTGCTGGGAATAGGGCGTATCCTGCTGCCTCAGGCAGGCCCGCTCCTTGAGTTCCCATTGAGTTCTCCTGGGATTCAGAGAGTATTTGGGATGCAGAGCCCAGTGGGAACTTGAATTTTGCCCAGAACCTGTGTGTAGAGTGCTGGTGACAATTCGAGAATAAAGAGTTGCTGTTTGAATCTACAAGGTGTGAGTGGCTCATGATTTTGTGCCCAGCCAGACTGCAGCACAAGGCACAAAATATTCACCATGGAATTCGTGGTAAATATGTAAAGTACTGTGCATATATAGGAATATGTTATTGTTTTGGAGGAAGATGGATTAATTTATCCTTGGGCATAATAGCACTTCTCCACTGAATATTCCTATTAAAGTAAAAGAAAAACACTGTATTAAAAGTGTTTTTAAACTTGCATCTTGCGCATTATAATGAAAATGAAAAGTTAATTAAAAGTACATAAGGTTACTCAAAAATAACAAGAATTATAGACTCAAATTAATAAAAATCTAAAATTTGAAAGTGATAATACAGACAACTGATGAGAGAAAGCAAGATATTATTAAAATCATTAATCACTCACAAAGCCTTTGTTATCAAAAAAGAAGTAAAATGTCTTCATATCTCTATAGTTGCATTTTTAAATAGCTATATTTGAAATTGTAAGATTAAATATCTCAAGTTTCTCGAGAAAATTAGAGAAAAATTTAACACTGAATAATAGATATATTGTATTATTTGATATGCATATGTAAAAACATATAAGCTGTAAATATCCTGTGATCATTTTGAGTATTGTATTAAATATTTATGGTTTTCCTTGTAATTCAATTTTTATTTTGAAAATATAAAAATCTCATATTGACAGGATTATTTACCAAGCACAAGTAACATGCAGAAAATTAAAATACCTTTAAAATACAAATTTTCAAAATCTCAAGGGATGGTGTAATTCTTATTTTGTGAAATA